GATTTTTCCAACTATTCAAATATTAGTTCAGTGTTTCTTTCGTGATGATTTACAGGAAAATGATATTTATGATTCCTTGGTTTGGCTTCTTCGGTTTGCATTCTTTCGTTTGCATGAATAATACATAAAATTGTGGTACATCTTCAGCGACGCGACGACTTTACTGTCTACTCGTTATAAAAGATCAACAGTTCTTGAATTCTTAATCAGAAATCAATGCATTTACAATATATTTCTGCACCGGTAAATGATTCAAAGAAAATTCGCGAGAAAAAAACGGGACGTAAATTTTTCATTTAAATCAAAATAGTCCCGAATTCAATGGGATACCATACCTAAAATTGAAATCATTGAACGCTCTTTTTCGGCAGAGCACAGCAGAAAAAAAAAGCCTAAAATTCATTTACAAAAAACAAACAAAAATCGTGAGCATAGCAAAAAGCATACTTTGGCATTTTGCAACATTTAACATTTAACATATAATCAATATTAAAATGCGAACGAGCAGAGCAAAATTTACTCTGACATATCGCGCACCAGATTGAAAATGAACGAGCCCCGTAAATCGTTGTGTACTGACTCGCTCTCTTACTCTACCTCCCTCTTTCCCATAGGAAGTCATGTCGATAATGTGCATTATGTATGAAAATTCGAATGCAGTGTAAATATCAAACAAAATCAGTTTCATTAAATTGCGTTCCATTTCCAAATTCAACGCGTGATTTTCTATGCAACGCTCCATCTCTCTGTTTCTCTCTCTCTCTTTCTTTCGTACGCTTTTGCTTCTTCACTCACTCGCCCAGCGCTTGCATTCGCTCTCGTTTTCTCATGCCATCATTCGCTCGCTCACCTCAAAAACCAACGCATACAAAGAATTCCGATGCGTTTTTGCTCTGAAAATGCAGTGCAGCGTTGCATCGAAACGCTGCATGACAAGCGTGATAATCAGAGTTAAGCCAGTAAACACAGGTGTTCGATAAATGTAGTTTATTCGATGAATTTTTATATATATTTTTGGTGTGTTCTCTCTCTCTCTTCCCCCTTTTCGCTTTTGCTCTCTCTTTACACAAGCGAGAAGTAAATAAAAACCGCTCCACATTTGCACCCGAACGGGAAGAGAAGAAAATAAGCATGCCTTTCAATTCGATTTGATGAAACGATTAGTTGATTGAATGAAAAACCATTCGCAGCTCGTGTGCAACGATAGCTAGTGAAAGAGAGTCGCTATCATACAGGGAAAAATGGAGACAGAGAGGGAACGAGAAATAGCGTAGAAAATTATACCCACGGTTTTAAGCATTCAAAGTGGAAAAATTCCTGTTGAACTGATACTTTGCAATTATTTGCGTTTCAGGTTTTCTTTACAAATGTTCACATTGCACAATTTTGTATTGCATTTTGTATCGGGCGCGCTGCTTGTGTGTATGTGTAGTGTTCGCAGAAAATTTAATACAGAATTTATCGACGAAATTGATTTGATTAAAGTTCTCTCTTTCTCGCCCATATTCGTTCCCCTTTTTATCTGTTTCATTAGTCTTCTTGTCTCGTTTCGCTCGCTTTTAACGACCGAGCAAAATATCTATTCACATCGACAAAAGACTTGAGCTTTCGATGCAAACGATGAAATGTAAATACGTTGTAAAATTCTTCGCCGTTTCACCAGAGCAATCTCTTTTGCTATATGTATTCTATTACAAGACAGAAATTTTATGGGTTTATACATTTTATTATGACCATTATTGAGTGGATGAGTGGATGAATGGAAGAGAAAGAGTGAGTGTGCGAGTTTCTGGAATATCTTCAAAATCAAATGAAACCTAAATAAAGTTTTGGAATCGAAATGATGTTAGTGAAGCAAAAGGATCGTAAAGTACAACAACTTAAATTATGCTCGATGCTTTGCATCATAAATGAATTCATATTCATCACGGGGCTGGCTCTTCTCTCTGTAGCCTTTCAGTGTACTCAGTTCAATATGCAACAATTTCGAAAGTCAATATAAAATCCGTTTCTTTTTTTTTTTACCAATCACTTTTGAGTTTTGAAATTTGGCCAAGGATGAAGTTTTGAGTTCACACATTGAGCGAAATTCGTGAACTGTTTGAAACCGCACTCTGCATGAGCCAGAAGATGTAAATTCGTTCATTAGACGCAATTTAAATTAAACCTCACACTGTTTGAACTTTAAGTGTGTGAGGTTGGAGTTTTTGCATAATTCAATCACCTAATTTGGAAACATTTTAAGGCGATTACATCGGTTTTGTGATGCTGTGCATGCTGTCAAATTCATGCTTCATGGAGAGAGAGAGAGAGAGAGAGAGAGAGAGTGAGCGAACGAACGACCGAGCATCGGTGCTAATGGATTCAATATTATTGGTCGGAAAATTGTTGAAATTTCCACAAATGACAACGATCATTTTGGGGCGGAGATAATAGAGAGAGAAAGTTAAAAGCCTAATAAGAATCGATTAGATTTAATTTATTGAATAAATTTTCATGCGTTGCCCATGTAATGTTGAAGCGACGGTCATATTGCAAAATGCTTTATAATGCACTTAATCGCATATGCAATATGAATGTGAGAATGTTAACGTTGTTCACCCGTTCGCACTGATACATACGGATAGATAGCTATTCGGTGCGGTCATTGGGAATAATGACGACAGCGACAGCGACGACGGAACACATTGATATGGCTGATGAGGATACGATGCGATGCGATGATAATGACAACTATTTTACGGAGTTGGAAATGGTCAATGTGCTTTTATGTTAATGCTTCGACTGATTTCAAACATACAAATTCGCTAGCCCAAGTTAATGCTTTGGGAATTGACATTTGCAACGAACACCCGAGACACTACTGCATTCACACGGACACGACATGCAATCGAAACTTTTTCTCAAACATTGTGTCGTCTCCAGGATAGACGACACAGAGCGAAAAAAAAAGAAAGCAACAAACAAACATACGAACGGATGGGGATAAAAACGAAGCGAGCGAGAAACGAATCTAATGAAAATGTGTGTTGTATGCTCCCTTTGGTGCCCGAAATGTTTCGTTGATAGAAGCATTTGTGGCTGGTTGGCTGGCAATGTTACGCATAATGTACTGCTGTCATGCTTTTCTATCTCTTTACTAATAACACAGACCCATACACACACACACACACACACACAGACAGAAGGATACCAACACGTATCCACATAAAAAGCATCTAAACTGACATTTTCACAATCGATAACAAAAATAACACTGTTAATGCATTAACAAGCCGGTCCCATTCAATGTTTTTGAACGAAAACCGTTTAGAAAACGGTTAAAAGGCATTCGAATTTATTGTACGCCGACCAAGAGATTTAATCGGAAACGATTGAACGCATCGTTGACTAACCACAATACGAGAGGGAGAGCACGAGATTGTCGCCTGATATCGGACGGCATTATTCCATTGGCTTTTGATTGTATTTGGTGGCAATATTTACACTCAGCCCCGTATATTGTATTCCGTCAAAACTTTTGTGACAACATGTTGTAGGGATGCGCTCGGATATATTTATTTTAAATTCGACTTGTGATAGACAAATTTGACTCATCACATTTCGATGGCCGTGTGGCCGTGTGGCCGTGTGGCCGTGATTCCGTTACACGTACACGAGACGACCAAATTCATGCAAATTAAATTCAGTTTCAATCACAGTTTATATTGATGTATCGGACCATTTCTATTTGTTTGGTCGTTTTTGAGCTTACAAATGCGAAAGCGATGGTTTGATTGACGAAATGAACGGCTGAACACACTATTCAATATAACAACCAACAAGAATGGTAGCAACGGGCCACAATTGACATTTGACGCCGGTGTTTTTTCCGCAGTTAGAGGTACAAAGAACATCAAATGCATGCAAACCAAATAGTTGGAAATGGAAATGAGCAGCCGTTATTCTCGCTCTCGTCCACTTCTCTACTTCCCTCACACTTTAGATTACAAACAAACACGTGCCACAGGAACATTCGCACAGAAAACCATTCAACTGACCACAAATTCGCATTCAATTTCGTCAGCCAAACGGGCAGTGACCATTACCATGTTACGCATTAATTCAAATTCGTTATCAACGCTTGAAAAATATTTCGGCTGATTATAAATATAATAATAGAGCGGCGTAACGAAGCCCGGGGCGAAAAAAAATATCAAATGAAATCACAATGCCTCTTTTGAGACGGAAGCGCGTGTGGCTGCCATAAATTGTGTGCGATGTAATTGTGATCTTGAGCGAAGCAACCGACCGTCCGACCGACGCAGGTAATAAATATCGAAATGTGAAGCCGCCATATATACGCATGATGATTGCGTTTTTCTTTCCTTTTTCCTGCTCATTATTTAACACAATCAATGTAATTTATGACGTAATTAAATTTCTCTTATACTCTTCTAGCCACCACCACTTGAAGTAAGTGTGTGGCATATGCTTTTGTGTGCGAAAGAAAGAGAGCTAGCGCGCCAAACTGTCAAAAATGCGTGTGAGTTCATGAGCCATATCGCAATAGTGTGTGGCTAGACATTTACTTTCGCATAAAATAACCCACAAGATTTCTTCGCCACACACACACACAGCCATAAATTTCATACACTTAAACCGGAGAAGGTAAAAACACAATTCACCACCGAAACCACCGTCATTTCGTTTGGCCTATCAATTCACTTCATTTTTATTCTCTTTTTCACACTCTCTCGCTTGCTCGCTCTTTTATTTCTCATATTTTCCTTTTGATATTTCGCTTTTATTCCAGATATTGCACCGCATTAAAACAACACAGAAAATACTCAAAGCGTTCATTCATTCGGCGATTAAAAAAAAACTGATTTCTTAGAAGAGCACTAAAGAGTGCGTGTATGCAATTCAGATTCATTGAATTGATTTGAATGTAAATTTAGGAGCCTGAGGGAGGAAAAAAAACACACATCGATGTAGAAATAATAAAGTGAATTGCATACCTTCGTTGCCATTCACGTTGGCAATAAAATATCCATTAAGTCCAAGCACAATTGTTGCAAAAAACACTTCATTTAATCCCATTGCTTTCATGCTCTCTTTCAATTTGTTGGTTGCTCTCTCGTCACTGGAACTTTGCGTGGTAGTTTGCTTACTCTCTGCTTCTTCTTCACGTGCTTTAACTTCTCTTGGTTGCGATTTTGATTTTCTCTGTGGTGCGAGCGGTGAACAGCCGATTTGTTTAATGGTCTCCGGTATGAGCTTTTTTCTTCTCACTCTCCGTGCTCTCTTTTCTCTTTGCACTGTCCGCGCGTATTGTTGTTAATTTGGTTTACTTCGTTCACAGGCGCATATATATAATCCACCGAAAAATTTATGCCTTAGCACAATTTGAATGCGCCAATTTTCTTAAGCAGCATTTGAACAGCAATATTCTATCACTCAAGCATATTTTTGCTCTTTCTCACGTCTTTTCGTCGCGTTTCTTTCTTTTTTCTCTCACTCTCTGCTATTTTTATTTTTTGTTTTGTGATATATTTTTTTTGTTATATTCTCTCAGTTCAAGTTTCTATATTCGACCGTAATATTTTTCGTCTGTGGCTATGGTTTATGATCGTAAAGCACGCGATACTATTTTCTGTGTTCAATGGTTTCTATTTTCCGTTGTGACGTCCCATATAAATTTTCTCTTTCGTTTTCTCTTTGTTCTCGCTCGTATGTCTCACACTTTGGACGCGCACGGTGTTTTGAAATATTAAATCTAAGCGCGTTTGTACAATGCAATCAAATCAATTTGAGCTTTTGTTGGGTGTGAGCACTCGTTCGCTCGTCGTTGCAGCAATCAAAGAAGAACAACACAATAGCAGCAATACGTCGGCCAAAGTTCTCCGCTTTTTTTTCGGTTATTTTTGTGCTTCACTTTTGCTAGACGAATTTAACACTTTGCTTTTTTGCACCAACACAGAGTTTCGAATTTTATTTGAGCCGTTCTAAATGTTCAACAATTTATGAGTAGCGAGATAGCCTAAGGGTGCGCGCACGCGGCGGTTCATTTTTCCGGTGTATCGCTAATTTTTCGTTATGATTTTATGTGTTACAATTTTTATTGGCATGGCATTTTAATGGGTTTCGCTTTTCATTTAGAGATTAATTGACGTGTAGTGGCATCAAAGTGGAAAACTTTTCGCACATTATCCGGAACACACAAACACTTACAAACTGAGAGAAAGAGAGAGAACGTGGTGCTCTTTCTGAGTTTAAAACTGTTTTAAAATTGTGTGGTCTGATCACTAGACTGCATGAAGATTCAACAATAAATCCACTGGTAAATTCTTGACTTGCATCGAAACCTGCATCGATATAAACACATTTTGTACGAAATATTGTTAAGCCACTACGCAGTAAGTCTCGACTGTGTGTGTGGGTGAATTTAATTTTAAAAAATTGTTTTCTTTGGAAACGAAAATTCTTTGAGAAATATTTCAATATTTCAATTCTTGGAATGGGCGAAATGTTATTGAGATGCTTTTATTGTATTGCATGGATAACCTTATTTCACTGAGTTGGTGATTTTTTTTGTTGTGTGGTTTCTACTTTTATCTCACGATTTCAATTTCGAAAAAAAAAATAATCGTAAAGTGTGTTTGTAAAAGACTTGTCCCAAAGACGTGTGTCAGTTAGGATATTTGATTTGCTGAGCACTATAGTTCTGTGTCGAAATGGAACCGGCAAGAGCAGCTGTTCGAACCTTACTAACTGGATTCCGTGGCGACCAAATCATTTTATACGCTGGAGTGTAGCTGCATTATGGCCAAACGGTTTTGTTTTGATACACATCGCCGACACACAGCAAATGCATAACATTGGCATCGGGCATGCGCCGACATTTCATCGACACATCGCCGCTCCGCGTGTACATTCGGCATGACAGACTATTCGAATTAGATGGAATGAAAACCAAAAAAAAAAAACGAGAAACAACAACACACATTCATGGGAAAAAGAAACAATCACAAAACCGTAACCATCGACCGCGTGCACTGGGAGTTTGAGGCAATCGAAGAAAAATATATGTATGAGAGCGAATGAGTTTTCGGTGGCTGTGTGTGAGTGCGTATGTGTGGATGCTTCTTTTTCATGTGTCTCGGTGTCTTCTTCTTCTTCTTCGTTCCCGGAACATTCTTCGACACATAAAATCGAAGTCGAGTACAAAGCAAATCCATGCGAGATGAACTGGAACGCATTCGCCGCCGAATGCCGAGCATATGTATATGTGTATGTGTCTCATTCTCCCATTCATTGCATGTGTCTCTATACGTAGTCTTTCAGCTAAAGAAGACACACTGTGTGCAAGGAATTGCAATCTTGAATTTTTTTTGGTGCCGAACTGTCTTTCGATAGTGGCTCAATGCTTTTTCATCGTCCGTTTTGCTTTTCTACATCGAATTGGTTTCTTTTCATTCTCTCCCTCTCGCTCTCGCTCTCCCGTCTTTCATCTTCTGCTGCACCACAAAAATGTCTTGCCGAACGAAGTCGACGAAGTGTGTAAGTGGTCTCAGACTTGGTAAAAACAAAATAAGATGTATATATATGTATCTCCACTGTTTAGCCCTTCGTTCTTTTTTTTTCGCATTGATCTCGAAGCAATGATGTTGCACATATCAAGTTGATGTCGAGCGCTTTCATTGATACACACACTGCTGTATATAGGAAGTGTAATGCGATTCGATCTCATTTTCAATGGAGTTTTGGTCATGACAAAGGAACGAGAAAGAAAAAAACATCCACATCGTATAAAAATAACACCGCAAACAGTAAATCAAGCTGAAATGAAAGGATTATCAATGGCAGTACCATACAAAAGCTCTCTTTCACACAAGACACATTTTCCATGGACACATCTTTCTGTATCAAAATTGGAATAGTGAATTCAAGCCATTAAAGCCTGATTTCGCAATAATGAATTAAATATTTCAATGAAATCACCAATCCAATTTACCTCGATCCAATTTTGTTTCGACACTGGATTTTGGCTAAATGAATATTGAATATTCGGCCGCTAAATTGAAACTGATTGGTGACAACTTTAATTGCACTTTGATTTCATTTGTAAAATATAGAACGGATTTCCGCGCGTTTTTTTCTCATTAAAAAATAAAAGTAAAGTAATTAAACGAGGGAAAAAAATCGATGTAATTATTGCTTTTCGTTTCGATTGGATAATTTTAATTTCGTTACCGACCATTGTCGCTGACGTATTCGTTTGTCTAGCATTCGAAATGGTTCCGTAAGGAGATGTAAAGACATTGATTTCTTCAAGAGCGTGAAAATTGTAATTGAATTTCTTTTGTCTGGCATGCGATGGAAGCCGACGAGGAATTGATGCTTGTGTGCACGAGCAAAGCAAGTGAGTACATTCCATGAATATTTCGCAATCAATAGGAAGATATTATTAGCTTCCTTCAATGACATAGAACCATTGTGATGTGAGGGGAGAAAATGCCGGCATTAATGTCGAATCTGGACTCACTTCTCTCAAGGCAAAACGAACGACACATATTATCAGAAGTGATTTGTGTTATTTTTTCGGGCGTTTTACATCTTTCGATGCCTATGTAAAGTCGAGAATCTCTACTTGAGATATAGGGAGAGATGGTTGTCGGTTGTGTGACGACAGTCATACAATCAAAAATTGGATAGACAAATGTTCGTTTAGCATAATCGAAACATTGATTCATTTTTCCTTGCCACTGGTTTCGTTTCGCAGCACAAAGCACACACTCGTCGAAATCATCCACATAAAAACGGTATTATAATGTGTTATAATTGATGAGCCGCATTTCGATTCGACATTTTATCATATTATGCAAACGAAATCGAATTTTTTAAAGCCTTTTTTCCACCCATTTCAAATTGAACGAAAGACTATATGCATTTCGGGTTCAATGAAACTCATCAGCCACATTGAAATGCGTTCATCTTAATGACGAAAGACGCTCGTTCAAGAAATAATGTTGTCTGTCATTATCGAGTCAAATGAGCACCAGCGAAATGGCTTCACTGAAGCCAAACAAACAAACGAGAAAAGAAAAAACCAAGGTAACGTTGAAATGATGGCAAAAAATAACACGATTATATTGACTAAAACAATCGATGAGAATGCCATTTTTCGATCATTTGTCTAGATCGAGGAGCTGGAATAAATTGAATTCTGCCAGTTGGCGGAAGAAAAAAAAAATCAACGCCAGATAAATATTGTATTCATTTTCGGCAATTAAATTAAGCCAATAAGCGAGAGATGAAGAGAGTGTGTGCGAGGGAGCGAGTGAGAAATGGACAGAAAACGTGTGAACGAACAAGCTCAATAGAGCTGAGAAGCGAAGGAGAGCGGTGTGTCGTGTTGTTGGGGGCGGAAATCAAGAGGAATTTGATTGACTTGGTTCATTGGCTCATCATTATCCTCATCATCATTGCCGCTTAGCATCGTTTTTCTTCTCATTTATTTGTACACTTCTTTGTTCGCCTCTTCGCAGCCGTGTTGTCAGAATGTCATCAGATTGCGCATCGATTTTCTACATGGTTGTGCCTCTGTTTCGCACTGCGTTTCATTCGTTCGACAAATAATATAGTGAAGCGTGTATCATCAGGTAATTTGATGGTTGCTCAGTGAAGTATGTGTTGAATAAAGAATACTCGCACTTCGTTCGAGTGTGTTGTTCTACGGTCGTTCTTCCATTCACATCGTCGCAATATTATTCACCATTGCCGTGTGTGTTTTTTTGCTGCTGCTGCTGCTTTGGCCCGAAGTGGTCTATGATAACAGAATTATTCAAGTAGCGCCTCTTCTCCCTCTCAGACAATACCGCGCGCGCACGCGCACATTCAACTACTACAACTGCTAGTGCAACGAAATGACGACGTAATTAACGATTCGCTCCTCTTGCCAATTCAAATATTATCTTTGCAAGTGGCTCGTTGGAGACATTTCATAAATGAACAATAACAAGTGCTTCTCGAGCTTTTTTTTTCAATTCACTTCATTCTGATTATAATGGCATAGAAGAAAAAAACTACCCATTTTTTTTACAATGAATTAAGCAATTGGGAATTCTGCTTCGTCACTTTTGACTCGCGAATTTGGCCGTTGCAATTGAGAATCAGAAAATGTGTTTGTCGATGGAAAATACATTGGCAAAATGTGAAAGAAGACGGAAAATGCAAAAAAATGTGCCAAAATGAAGATGTTTAATCGAATCGATTTGATGATTTATTTGACTTTAACATGCACGAGTAAATGTTCCGTGATTGTTATTGACTGATATTTAAAATGAATTCGCTCGAACCGTCGCTCGCGATACCATCGCATTTTATCCGTTTAATCAATCGCACATTGATTATCATTTTATTCATTTTCTGTGCTTCCAACAATTATCATTTTATTCATTTTAGCCTCGATTTACGACAACCACAATATTTCTCACTTGTGCGCGTTTTTTGTTCGTTGCCGTTCATCGGGTCGCATTTTAACGAGCTTAAAATATTTTCCATTTTGTTGCATTATTATTATTGGTCATTCGTTTTCGCACATAATGTTCTATGTCAATTGACCTAAACATATTAATCAGTGGTACTGCGTGTATGAAATTAAACACAGTACAAAATTTGATGATTTTTTATTTCAAGGCTTAATGACTATGAAATATCAAATGAGCGTCAATTTATTCATATATTGATAACATTAGCGATTGTATTAATTAATTTTATGGAAAATCATTTAAATCGCCGCAACATAAATCGGCGCAGGCAAATGTGTTTGAATTATTTACGATATTGCAATTTGACCGATTAATTTGAGCATTTATTTCGATTTCAAAATGATTTAATTACCCAGTAACGCAAACACAATCGTTGTTTTTGATCATATAACTGATTTCTGATGGCGCTTCGACAATTTAAAATATTCATCTTCAAACGAAGACTCTTCATTACTGTGAACAAAAAACACATTGAAAAAAAAAGAAACGAAAAATTAATAACCATAACAAATCATTTCTGCGTTTTCTTTTCTTCAAAAGAATTTCGTATATTCCACAAAGCTGAGCATCAACATGAATCTTCAGTTATGCTCATGATTCAATCGATTTTCTCATCCCTCTACATGTGTGAGAGAGGAAAAAAACCAACAACGATAGTTCAGCCATATAATAAATTCGCAAATAAAGTGTCTTTATGGGTCTAGTCGGTTATGTTTGCAAACATAAATATTCCCATTTAGCGTTTATAATTACTCAAACCATGAAAATTTGTCTATTTTGCTACTTTTTATTGGAATCTTCCTCAATTTTATCGCTTAAGTCTTTTATAACTTTTGTACGCTCGATCTCTATCTCTTTCTCACTCTCTCCCGCAGTCAGTCGTCGTAAAATGCGTTTTTAATTTATATGAGAGGCGTGACGCTTGCTTAACGACATTTAATAGCTCAACGATTGCCACTTTTGGCTTCCGCTCGCAAATTGCCCCTAGTAAAACATTAGTAAAAGTGATGCAGAAATTTGTTTCCACTAATAAATGCAATGCCATTTGATGTGAATTTTCCGAGGGATGCGCCTATCTGTGTAATTTGTTGTTGTAATTTTATAGTTCGAACTCCCACCGCTTACGTGTACAATGCAAATCAAATGTATTTCAGTGTGGCGCTAGTAGCATGTAGTTTGCCTTAGACGCAGCTC